ATGAGCCTTCATTGATGAGACAGCTCCCTGGAACGTTCAGGAAAAAGGGAGTGGTTTTCCATAGAAGGTAAAGGATAGGAGGAGATTATGTAAACTAGGGCATAAGGAGGCGGTACATAACCTTATAAGGGAAAGTATGGGTGGGACATATGGAACTAGCAAAAACCTCTGCAATGCAGCAAATGACAACCAATCAGAAAATAGGAATAAAGATGATGACATACTGAGGGGAAAATATCTTTCAAACTGGGATTTCTAACTACCAACCATATGCTATATTGTTTACATAAACCATATAACAAAATGGGACAAAATACTCCTCAGTAAATTGTCCTATAAAAGAATAACAAGAGTCCCCGTTAGAAAGTCCTTTAACCAAGCAGCGGAACATGTCTGTACATGTCCCTTGAACTGAGGCGTCAACCTAACGATAGGTTTAACCTAAGAAGTCTCTTTATTAAAGTCCTTTATTTGAGTCCTGTTATCTTCTTTCTGGCTGCCTTAGTTGTTCTTTGGGTAGAGTTCTTTTTTCCACACCTCAGAGTCTTTCCACTGAATATTTCCACCCCCGACACTTCAGTATATAGACAAGATAGCATTCACTATATACACAATACAGGATTCAATAGCTATCCAACAAATCATCGATATCAGAGCTTATATCCTCAAGAGTTGCACCACCTGGATCCAAAATTAAGATGCCGCGTGCAAGCCTGACCCAACTGTTGCAGGGTCGTCCAGAGGTGTTCCCCACACTTCTGGGCTGAAGAAAGGAAGGAATAGGGATGCTCAGCCTCTCCATGCTCCAGGCAATGGCACTGCTGCTCTGCTGGCACAGGCATCACAGAGGCAAGCAGGGCAGCAAAGCAGGCAGCAGCTTGTGATGGTTCCAGTGAGAGACCTTCCCTCAGCACCAGCAGGGTTGAAGTCAGAGCATCCTGGAGCGCCACCATGGAACACGTTGGTTTGGGAAGGATTCATCTGGTGATGGGATGTCCTAGGGCTGCAATCCCCCATCCCACTGCCATCCTCCTTCCAGGTGGGAAGGCACCAACCATTCCCTGACACCACTGGCCATGTTTGACCTGGGCAGAACAACAGTCTCTGTCTGTGTTCCTTCTCTCTGCTAGGAAATAACTTCATTTTGGGGGAAAAAAACAGTGAAAATGGAACGGATGAGAGGTTTCCTCACGAGGGTATGAGCTGCAGGGAAACTGCCTCAAAAACCGAGGAAAGTGGACATACAAACATCCCACTGTCCTTTCAATGTGGGAAACTCTTTCCACTTCAGAGTAGTTGGACCTCTTTTTCTTTGGAGTTGTTTTTGCTTTTCATTATGTTTGGGGGACGACAAAAACGGGTTGTTACCCAGTGTGCTTCACTCAACCTCTCAAATCTACCAGCATGGGCACAGCTGGAAAAGCTGTATCCTCTTTTATCATATTCCCTCCATCCCTCTCCTCTTGCCTTTCTTTAACACCCTAGGGGACATGTCCCTGTTATCCTGGACTGTGTCCTCACCTCAAAGCCCCATCCAACTGGCCTTGAACACTTCCAGGGACGGGGCAGCCACAGCTTCTCTGGGCAATCTGTGCCAGGGCCTCAGCAGCTCCACAAGGAAGAGTCAAAATACAGCAAATGCAGCCCTTTGCAAAGAAGGAAACTCCTGGGCACCTGGGCAGACCCTGCTTGCTGCCACAAGAACCAGCCCCCAGGGACCCACTGTGTCCATGCCGCCTGTAGAGCTCTTGGCATGGATTTGCAGGAGCACAGCAGGCTTCAGGGACAGCAAATGGAACCCAATCCCTACACCAGAAGCCCGACCTCAGTGCACCACTCCCTTCGGAGGGATTTTCCTGGAGATCAGACCTTCAAGCCCAAATCATCAAGCCACGTGGATCAGTCTCATGCCTCATTGCCCTGCTGGCACCATTTGTATCCCATTTCATGCCAAAATGGGGAATTCAGCCCAAACCTTCCATTTTGCAAGCAGTTCCTGAACTGCTTGCAAAATGAGGGGACCAGAACAGGACACAGTATCCCGACACTGCCTGGCAGTGCTCCCTGCAGTAGGATGGGCAAGTGTCTGTGTCTCAGCCAGTGTGCTACTTCTTCATTTGCTTTTAAGCACACTGAAAACTCACTGTTAAGCCAGGCTGGTCTCTGGATCTGCCTTCTTCCTTCCCCTTTGCTCGTGAACTGGGACATCTTTTCAGCAGACACTGCAGGGATACCTTCCCTCCATCCCTGAACCTGAGCCACGTGAGGCCCTGCTTTGCTTCAGCTTCTGCTGCTCCTTCCTTTGTTGCCAGGCAGTCTGGGCACACTCCAGTCAGCTGCAATGTGTGTCCCCAACTTCTCCTGAGCAATCGTCTCCTGCATACTCTGATCCACTCCAGGCAGGCCCCGAGATTCTCTGGTTCAGGAGGGTGCTTTTGTTTGGGGAGGGGACAATTCTGACCTTGCCTGGAGTGTGGAAAAGGGACAGTCAGGGTCTGCAGGGCTTTGAGTGCCACTCCTGAGGGATCTGAGCACTGCAGCTCAGAGGTGTGCTGAAGAAGGTGTCAAGGCAGACACTGTGATGGAGTCAGGTACAGACAGGCCACACCAAGTGTGAGAGGTGGTGAGAGAGGAGACAAAAGCAATAAGAAAGGAGAGACTTCCAGCAATGTGCTCCTGGGGTAAGGTAGGATGGTTCAGGTTTCTCCTCTCAGTACAAATGCAGAATCCTCAGCTTCCTGTAAATGTGTTCTCTCTGCTCTGATGCCTAAGAAGACAGAACCGTGGCAGGAGCCCCTAGGAGGGTAACCTTGATGCTGCTCTTCCACCTGGGAAGACTGTGACAGCCTCAGAACCCTTCACTTCCCCAGAAACCTCCCTTTACACTGTTAGGAGGCACAGAAGTTTCATGAGAATGTTCTTATATAAACCATTATAATTATCTCTATCATTTTTCAAATCATTGTAGAGGTTTTATAATTCAAAATGCATTTTAGAGGTAACAGTTTGAACAGTGTGGTTTGTGTGCTATGGTGGCTGCCTGGGATCAGTCTGGAGTGGATGCAGAGAAGGGGCTGGCAGTGAGGGTCTCCATCTGCCAAGCCCCCAGCCCTTCAGCTGCCCTTTCAGATGGGTGGGGAAGGGCTGTGCCAGCCCCACCCTGGCAGGCAGCACTCTGGTGGGTGGAAGAACAGTTCATTTCTCTACCCTCCTTCTTCCTTTGCTCCCCCAGGCTGTTGTTTCTGGCAGCTCTGTTATCTCGGCACTGGGAGGGGCTTTCTGACTCTCTCAGCAAACAGGCAGGTTGGTCTCAGCATGAACCTAACATATCTCATCCTCACTGTCTGCCTGGGCCACCTCCTGGGTAAGTCCTGGCTTTTCATCAATGCACCCTTCTTCTTCCTCCCAGGAAACTCCCAACAGCATTATCAGGACCATGTGGGGAAATACCATTGAATGGAGGGAAAATGCTGTGAATTATCTGCTCATATTTGCCAGTTGGCCTGTGTTTGCTCCAGAATCATTTACCTTTTTAAAGGGAAAGGGAGGAAAGAGAAGAGAAACCTCAGAACCCTTGTTTTATTTCTCTCCTCTTCAATCCTCCTCCCTCTGCCTCTTTCTTCTGACCCACCTGCTTCACCACAGGAGATCTCCTCTTTGCATTCCCACATCCCTCCTTTTTTAATGCATATTGGCAGATCCTGTCAAATCTGCCCCAGGCAGTTTAAACTCTCATTTCTCTGACATCAATGGCTGTCCAATTTTGCCTCTTGGTTGCCACAGGCTTCCAATTTTCCTCGCCTGGCAACAAAGCCAGGGCTCCCTTTTTCAAGCCCAGCATTCTGTGAACTGAGGGAGTGAGGAGCTGGTTCGGGCACACAAAGTTCAGGTGGCACAGGCTGTTCCCTGGTGCTCTGAGCAGGAGGAGCAGGAGCAGGGACACAGCACAGCTCTACTCAGATTCATACTGTGCTGAGAGCTGTGACCTGCTGTCCAAAATCACTCTCACCTGACTGTCTCCAGGTCTCACGACTTCCCTACAGGGCAGGGAGCTTTCTCCACCAGGCTTTTGCATCCAGCTTTACTTTATCTTCCCATCGTATTTCCCTGTGGAGCTGCTGACCTTCACTTTCTTCCAGGCACCATGGGGCAGATCATTGTCACCCAGGAAGATGGACAAGTCCTGGTGAAGGAGAAAGGCTTCTTCCAGACCACCTGTACATACCAGACCAGTAACTTTTACGGATTGTGGTGGTACCAGCAGAGGAAAGGACAAGCCCCACAGCTGCTCTCCTCCCAGGCAGGGGCTGGCCAGAGGCAGAGCGGCCGTATCAGCACGTTGCTGAACACCACGGGCAAATACAGTGTCTTGCAGGTGGAGGCAGTGGAGGTCTCTGACAGTGCCTTGTACCTGTGTGCTGTGCGAGACACCCTGGTGCAGGGAGCTTCCTGGGCTGTGCAACAAGCCAGGGAGGGAGGGGATGTGTCTGGGCAAGGCTGAGCTGGGGGCAAGGGACCCACAGGTTACCCCCATGCTCACCTTGGTTACATCCTCACATGTGTGCAATGAGTTGATGATTTGATCCCATCCATGCTAACACTGCCCTCAGGAAGGTGCTCTCGAGTATTTTGTCTCATCTCCACTTTGTGCAGTCTCTGAATAAACACAAAGTGCCCTGTGCTTGCCTGGCACCTTGTCCTTCCTCTCGATCCTCCAGCTTTGCTGCTTTTGACCTCAGGTGTGCTCAGCAGAGCCCACGGCTGATTGTGTGTTCCTGCCTCGTGTGCTCTCTGAGCAGCTGAGTTTGCACAGACAGGTGTGGGGGCACAAATCTGGGTGTGATTGCACACTGGTGTACACCATCCTGTGTGGGTGTGTGTCTGTCTGAGTGTGTGTGAACTTCCTCATGGAGAGTTCATTTGCTGCCTATTGCAGGGAGATCGTCCTCTGCTCTGGCCCTGAACTCCACAGAGCAGCAGGTTCCAGGCTCAGAGGGAGCCTGGGTGCAGCTGAGCGCTGACGGCACCTGCCCCCTGCAGATGTGTGCAGGCAAGAGACCCAGAAATGCAGCCCCTGTCTCCTGAGCCCTTCTCTTCCTGGCCCTCCCCAGCTCTGGCTGCGCTGCTGCTGATTTCGGCCCCACCAGGCCGCTTTCAGCGCAGCTTGGATGCCGAGTTGAAGGCGGTGTAAGAACCCTGGCGGTGCCTCAGCAGGGCTGGCAGCCCCCCGAGCCCCCTCCCCAGCCGTTCCGCTGCTGCTCTCAGCAGCGCTGCAGAGCTCAGGAGGAGCAGCTTTGCCTTGTGGGCAGGGAGGGAGGCTCAGCAATGCCGCCCACCGTGTGCTGCCAGTGCCGGAGAGCATCTGCTGCCGATGCCGTGTCGGCGGTGTGTGGGCTGGGACGCGGCTGTGTCTTGTGGCCGGCAACGCCAAAGGGATTTGTGCGCTCTTTGTGCTGGTGCTGTGCGAGGAGGGGGCTGAGGCCGGCCCGGGGCGGAGCTGTCGGGGGAGAGAGGAGGGGAGGGGCTGGGAGGGGCTGGGAGGGAGGAGGCGGAGAGGAGGCGGCCCGTGCGGAGCAGAGAGCCGGGGCTGGCGGGGGCAGCGAGGCGCGGGCGGCGGAGCGGGGGATGCGGCGCTGGCGGGGCGCGGGGCTGGCGGCGCTGGCCGCGGTGCTGCTCGGTGCGCGGGGCTGCCGGCGGGGACCAGCGGGGCCGGGGCTGGGCTCGGGTGTTTCCCCGGGAGCCCGGCGCCAACCCTTCCCTCTGCTTCTTCCACATCTCTTTCTCTCTGCTTGCCTCTCTGCCATCTCGCATCTCCAGAAGTCTTCATGAGTTGCCTTCCTAAAGCCTGCTTGCACAATGACCTGCTTTTCCTTGCACCTGTATTTGCATCCCTCTACATTTATCAGTTATTATTGCTCTGAATACGCATCTCCCTGGAAGCTGCCGTCCCCTCTGGCTACTTCTCGGACCCCTGCCCCTGAATCGTCCCCCTCCATCCCTCCCGCTGCACCATCCCACATTCCCTCAGGAAATTCACGCCTCTCTTCTTTCTCCAACTATCACTGCACCTTCTTTTCTCTTCCTTTCTTTTACCTTTCATTCACACATTCATGTCCCCACTAATCATTGACATTTCTGTTAATGTACGTGTTGACATCCTCTGAATACACTTGTCCTCATCTTCTCTGTATCTCCCAGACTGCTTCTCTGGGATTTGTTCTGGAAAACAACTTACAGTCCAAAAAGACATTCTGATATTTTTGTACTTTGTCTCTCTGGCAGTGGCTGCGGGCAGAGCCCGGGTGCAGCAGGACCCGTTGGTAGAGACCACCGAGGGCACCCAAATCACCATCAACTGCTCACACCCCGACATCCAGTCAAGTGAATACATCTACTGGTACCGTCAGCTCCCGGGCCGAGGCCCCGAACTCCTCGGGAACGTTCTCAAAGGCTCCAAAGAGCTGCCCGACAAGGCGGCAAAGCTGTCGGTGTCGCCAGACCGTCGCTGGAGCTCCCTGTGTCTCTCCCGGCCCCGTTTGAAGGACGCGGCCGTGTATTCCTGTGCCCTGGCAGGCACGGCCAGAGCAGCCGGGGCTGCGGCCGGGCACGAACCGCCGCGGCGGGGCCGGGCGGGGCCGGGGGCACAGCGCCGGCCGGGGCCTGCAGGGGCCGCTCCTGCCCCGCCAAGAGCTCTTTCGTCAAGGATGGCCCGCCTGCCTGGGCCCCCTTCTTTTAAAGGGCTGCTTTCCCAGGGGCTTTCCGAATCAACGCAAGTCCAGGGCAGGGCTTTGCTTGATGCTCCTCCTTACTTCACCAAGTGTGCAAAACTCGAGCATTTCATGGTGGCTGTGCCCCACATGGCCTTGGATCAACACATCTCTCCCCAACCCTGCTCTGTTTGCAAACAGCAGGGCTGGGTGCTCTCTAAACTCCCCACGATCAGAAAAACTAAAATTCCACCCATGACTCCAGTCTTTATGCCAGAGCAGATGCAGGAAATAGGATATAAGAGTGTGGTGGCTGCCAAGAGAAAGTTTCACCCATCACAAGGGATGAGATGTACATGTTACCCCATCCTCTCCCCCAGACTGGCAGCCAACTCCTCAGCACAAACCCTCTGAGGGGAGCCAGGAAGCAGTGAAGAGCTCTGCACCCACCTGCAGCTCTGCTGGGCAGTGCACCCACAATCCTTGTCCTTGCTGATGTGCACGTTCTGCTGCAGGTTCAGTCTCAGAGCCATTTGATCTCCCACAGTATTTCCCTGTCTCCCTGTCCCCACCTGGCTGGGACAGCCCTCAGCTGTCACCTGCTTTGCTGCAATTTCCAGCCTTGACTCCTTCAGCAGCCAAAGGATGGTTCTCCTCAACAGAGGGGCCACTGCAGGCTGTCCCAGCCTCCCATTGCTCTGTCAGGGGAGAAGGGTCTCCTGTGCCATCACCCACTTCCACTGCCGAGCAACCCCCTCCTGCTTGGACAGCTTGGAGAGTGTGTGCAGGGGTGGGAAAGCCAACAGGGAGGCCAGGCTTGAATTCAGCAGAAAGATTTAAGGAGGTAAAAGAGGGAAAGGACGTCCCTTCAAGTGGAGCACAGCAGTGCAGGGAGCCTGGGGGCATCTGAGAGCCTGTGCCTTTGGTGGAGGAGAAGTTCCTGCCCGGTGCCTGTCTGCCTGTCCCTTAGAGGAGAGGACACAGATGGGCCCCACCAGGCTGACCTTGGGGGGGCCTTGGGGGGACCTTGCTGCCAAGGCCAAGCAAAGCAAACAAAGAGAAGGGAAAGGCAATGCCATTCACCTCTCCTGCTATCAACGTGGGAAAATGTCCATCCCCAGCCCAGCACCGTGTTCTGAGTGCCCTGAGGTGCCTCCCTGGGGCTTTCCCAGTATCTTCTTCAGGGGAGGCACCTTCTGCCACAGTAGGGTCTGGGAAGGCCAGAGAGGTCCCAGCCCCCGCAGTTGACGGGCACTCCCTGAGAGCTGAGGATGCTGCCAACAGCAGTGCAGGTGGTAGCAGTGGGGAGCTGGAGGGTGGGCCAGGAAACACACATGCTTTTGCATTTCCCTATTATCACCAGGCTGTCACAGACAAGCTCTGTCCTATATCCCTAAACCAAAAGTCCTCTCAGCTACATCCCAACCACCCTCCAGCGAGACTTTCTCACCATTTCCCTCTGTCATGACAAGAAGAACAAAACCACAGCACAGGACACAGCCAGAATCAGCTGTGATGTCCAACAACTGGAGATCTCACTTTGGAAGAGGAGCAGAAGGGCCTTCAGCCTCCCCTGGTTCCCAAGCAGAAGGAAGCAAGAGAAGTGCAGGAGAGAGCAGGGACTGGGGCAGCCTTTTCCACCTGCCCTTCACTGCTGCACGACCAGGGGCAGCCTTTGCAGAGGTAACACTTTCCCCACAAGCTCATCTGGAATGCAAACCAGCACAGCTGATGAGATGGGCTGTGCTTTGGTTTCCAAAGTGCTGCCTTTGTGTTTCCAGGTTTCTTCCATGCCCCAGTGAAAGCTTCTTCTGATTTTTGGGATGAAATGTTGCAGGATTTCTAGGGCAAGGACTCAAGAATGTTGTGAGTAGACTCAGCTCCAGGGCTGGATGGATCCAGAGCAGGCAAGTGATGTGTCACTCTGGATCTCTCTGCTGGGCTTGTTTGAAGTGCTGTTTTCAAGAAGAAGCTGCAGCAATCCTCTGTGGATCGCCAAGGACTCCTGGGCATGAGGATGGGCCATGTCATTCCCTTCCTCCTCCTCAGCTCACCCCAATGGTCACTGGTTGTTGCTCTCTCTGTGTGTGCTTTGGGCAGCTGCTTTGGCCTGTCCTGCCCTGCACTGCCCTCAGGAAAGTCTTTGAGTTTATTTTGACTTGTCTTTGTGTGCAGCCTGGGAGTACACAAACAGTGGCAGGGGCTTGCCTGGGGCCTTGTCCTTCCCCGCCCTGTGCTGTTGTGCCCCGGTGTCCTCAGCAGAGTCCATGGCTGGTTGTTTTCCTATGGGTGTTCCTGGTTTGTGTGCACTGGTGTGCAGCTGGGTTCCACAGGAACCCCAGTGGGAGCCCAAGTCTGTGCATGAGTCCACACCAAGGTGCCTGAGCCCCTGTGTGTGTGTCCTTGTGTGTATCTCAACCAGTGAAATGTGCTGGTTGCACTGGGCACACTCCACTGCTCTGTCCCTGAGCAACACAGGGCAGCATTTTCCCAGACTCAGGAAAAGCCTGAATGCATGTGCTGGTTTGACCTGGGTAGAGTGAACTTTCTTCACAGTGGTTGCTATGGGGCTGTTTTTGGATTTGGGCTGAAGCCAGGGTTGATGATACAGAGATGTTTTTGTTATTGCTGAGCTTACACAGAGCAAAGGCCTCTTCTGCTTTTCCTGCAGCCACACTGGCAAGGACATTGGTGGTGAATTGGGTGTTGGGAGGAGACACAGCCAGGACAGGTGACTCACACTGAGCAAAGGGATAGGCCAGACCATGGGATATCCTGCTCAGTATTTCAAGATTGGGGGGAAGAAGGAGGAAGAGGGGTAAGTTTGTTGTGATGGTGTTTGTCTTCCCAAGCACCCATCATGAGTGATGGGGCCCTGCTCCACTGGAGGTGGCTGAACATCTGCCTGCCCATGGGAAGCAGGGAATTAATTCTTTGCTTTCCTTTGCTTCTGTGCATGGCTTCTCTTTCTGACCTGTGAGTGTTTTTGCTTTTACCCATCCAGTTGTCTCCTGGATCCTGCTGATGGAGGAGTGAGTGAGCAGCTGTGTGGGCCTTGGTTGTTGGCTGGGGTGAAACCAGGACAGTGCAGTTGAAGAGTGATCTTCCAGTCTTCAGTAGACCTGCTCAGGACAGAGGCACTGACAGGCAGCCCCTGCCCCCTGTGCCCTCCTTTTCCTGTTGCTCTACAGATCATGCTCTGCTGCTGCCAATTGCAGGGCCCAGCAAGGACGGTTTCACCCACATTTGGATCTGCAGCTCAGTTCAGGTTCAAATGCTGGCAGTGCCTCAGCAGGGCTGGCAGCCCCTCCACCCTCACCACACCCACACACTGCTCCAGGCCAGCACACGCTGCTCTCCCCACTGCTGGACACCTCAAAGGATAAGCTTGGTTTCATGGACAGGCAGAAAGACTGAGGGTTCCTGCCCCCCTCATGTACCCACCTGAGTGGATTTGCTTCCAGTGCAGTGTTGGGGGTGCCGGCTGGGACACAGCTCCCTGTCCTGTCCAAGCCCCTGCCAAATGGACCTGTGCAGCCCATGGACCAGGTACCCAGTGAGGCAGTGGCTGAGACTTTGTCCCAAACAGGGGCTGAAGGAAAAGGACCCGGCCCTGACCTCGCTGCATTGTGAGAGGAAGAACAGACCCTGTGGCTTGCAGGGGGAAAACCAAAATTCGGGTGACTGCTTTGGACTTCAGCCCACAAGGACTTCAATCCCCCACACTGGAATCTCAGTCTGAGAGCCCAGGAACTGTCACTGGCAGGGAAGGCTCATTGGATTCCAGACCACAGGCTTCTCTCCCACAAATAGGAAACAAACCCTATTTTGAGCAGGGACTGTACAGAGTGGGTGAGGCTCACGAGCCCATCTCCCTGCCTGGATGCCTGTCACACTGGGCATGTCCAGCTTGGAGACAGAGCAGTTGAGGGCTTCCTCTCTTGCTTGTAGTGACTTTTGGTGAGATCATTGCCAGGGAGCTCTGCTGGAAGAGCTCAGCCAGGCCAAGTTCCCCCTCCGTGGCGATGCTCTTGCACTGAGGCACTGGTGCAACTGAGAACAAAGCTCTCTGATTTCTCCCCAGCTCTCAGCTCTGTGCAGATGGGAGGGCAGCACAGCTGTGCACCCAGAGCTTCACCAGACCCTTGACACCCTCTACCCGTACAGCCTCCCCAGGCTGGCAGCTGTCTGTCTAGGAAGCAGATCCCTTCAACAGCATGTGATGTTTTAGGAGACACCTGACAGGACACTGGACTACAATGCCCATCTTCCTGGGCCTTTATCCTCTCCCTGGAGGCACAGTTGCTCCATGAATGCAGACTGCATCTCCAGGACTCCAAAGCAGGTGGCAGATGCCAGGCCATGTCCGGGCTTTCTCTGGGAAAGGTTCTTCTCCCATGCAGTGCCTCACGGTAGCACTGGTGCCACAGCCCCTGGCAAAACCCCAAGGGGCTGTGTCCCCAGAGGAAGTGCTCCCGCTGCCAGCAGGGATGCTCCCCGGGACAGGCCAGGAGAGGCTGAGCCCGGGGTGCTGATCCCAGAGGGATGTGCTGCCTCTCGTGCCCCTCGACCCTTCTTACAAGGGCGTGTCCTGGAGGACAATTCAGGAGTCCCCACTTGCCAGCAAAGGAGGGATGTGAGGGAAGAGATGACGGGGGGGAAAGGAGCTCACGGGCTGTCAGTCTTGAGCTCCCCGATAGCAACCCGCTCCCCTGCCATCCAGCCCGGCCCCGCCGCCTCCGCGGGGCAGAGCCCCGACCGCCGCCGCGCTGCCGCCGCTCTCGCCTCCCCTCCGCATCCAGCCCGGCCCCGGCGAGAGCCCGAGCGGCGCCGGCGCAGGGCTCAGTCCCGGGGCGGAGCTGGCGGAGGAGGGCAGGGCAGGCAGAGGAGGGAGAGGAGGCGGAGAGGAGGCGGCCCGTGCGGAGCAGAGAGCCGGGGCTGGCGGGGGCAGCGAGGCGCGGGCGGCGGAGCGGGGGATGCGGCGCTGGCGGGGCGCGGGGCTGGCGGCGCTGGCCGCGGTGCTGCTCGGTGCGCGGGGCTGCCGGCGGGGACCAGCGGGGCCGGGGCTGGGCTCGGGTGGCCACGCACGTCCCTCCAGGCTGCCGTCCTGCCTGGCTGCTTCACACACCTCTGCTCCCGAACTGTACTCCTGTCCGTCCATCCCTCTACTCCATGAAGCATTCCCTAGGATATCTCATCGCTCCTTTCTTTGTCGAACCGTTCCTATTTCCTTGTTTTGTCTTTCATAGAACTCATGCAGTCCACCCTTCCCATTTCCTCCTTTTCTTTCTCCCTTGCTTTGCTTTGTCCCGCAGCCTTCCATTCTTCACTGAGTCCCCCCAAAGCACCCCTCGATCCTGCACTCATCTCTCCACCAAACTCTAATGGACACTTCCATTACTGCACACATTGACATCTTCTTAAAATTCTTCTTCATATGGTTGTGACTGCTTCTGTGGGATTTTTTCGCAGAAACAACATCCTGTGCCAAAAGCAATTATGATGGATTTTCTTCTTTATCTCCCTGGCAGTGTCTGCAGGCAGAGCCCTGGTGCAGCAGGACCCATTGGTAGAGACCACCGAGGGCAGGGAAATCACCATCAAGTGTTCCCACCCCAACATACGGACCGGTGATTTCATCCATTTCTACCGGCAGCTCCCGGGCCACAGCCCCGAGCTCCTCGAACGGGCTGCTAAAGGGTCCAGAGAGCTGCGGGAGCCAGCGGGGCGGCTGTCGGTGTCACCAGACCGTCGCTGGAGCACCCTCTGGCTCTCCCGGCCCCGTGGGAAGGACGCGGCCGTGTATTCCTGTGCCCTGGGACACACGGCCAGAGCAGCCGGGGCTGCGGCCGGGCACGAACCGCCGCGGGCGGGGCCGGGCGGGGCCGGGGGCACAGCGCCGGCCGGGGCCTGCAGGGCTTTGTCACATGCTGCAAATCCCACCTGTGCTCACATTCACTGCCACCGTCGGCTCTGCGGCTTTTCATTGTTTCTACAGCTGAGCAAAGGAACGTCCCTGTGAAAACAGGGCCTTGCACTCCTCCATCAAGCACAGGCTGGGGACAGCATTGCTGGCTGCCAAGTGACATCCACAGCACAGCACAGGTCTGGGCACACTCCAGTCAGCTGCAATGTGTGTCCCCAACTTCTCCTGAGCAATCGTCTCCTGCATACTCTGATCCACTCCAGGCAGGCCCCGAGATTCTCTGTTTCAGGAGGTGCTTTTGTTTGGGGAGGGGGGAAATTCTGACCTTGCCTGGACTGAGGAAAAGGGACAGTCAGGGTCTGCAGGGCTTTGAGTGCCACTCCTGAGGGATCTGAGCACTGCAGCTCAGAGGTGTGCTGAAGAAGGTGTCAAGGCAGACACTGTGATGAGAGTCAGGTACAGACAGGCCAGACCAAGTGGGAGAGGTGGTGAGAGAGGAGACAAAAGCAATAAGAAAGGAGAGACTTCCAGTGCTGTGGCCCTGGCGTCAGGAAGGAGGGTTGCAGGTTTATTCTCTAAGTACAAATGCAGAATCCTCAGCTTCCTGTAAATGTGTTCTCTCTGCTCTGATGCCTAAGAAGACAAAACCGTGGCAGGAGCCCCTAGGAGGGTAACCTTGATGCTGCTCTTCCACCTGGGAAGACTGTGACAGCCTCAGAACCCTTCACTTCCCCAGAAACCTCCCTTTACACTGTTAGGAGGCACAGAAGTTTCATGAGAATGTTCTTATTAGAACCATTATCATTATCTCTATCATTTTTCTATTCATTGTAGAGGTTTTGAAGAGCAAAATGCATTTTAGAGGTAACAGTTTGAACAGTGTGGTTTGTGTGCTATGGTGGCTGCCTGGGATCAGTCTGGAGTGGATGCAGAGAAGGGGCTGGCAGTGAGGGTCTCCATCTGCCAAGCCCCCAGCCCTTCAGCTGCCCTTTCAGATGGGTGGGGTAGGGCTGTGCCAGCCCCACCCTGGCAGGCAGCACTCTGGTGGGTGGAAGAACAGTTCATTTCTCTGCCCTCCTTCTTCCTTTGCTCCCCCGAGGCTGTTGTTTCTGGCAGCTCTGTTATCTCGGCACTGGGAGGGGCTTTCTGACTCTCTCAGCAAACAGGCAGGTTGGTCTCAGCATGAACCTCAACCATCTCGTCCTCATTGTCTGCCTGGACCACCTCCTGGGTAAGTCCTGGCTTTTCATCAATGCACCCTTCTTCTTCCTCCCAGGAAACTCTCAACAGCCTTATCAGGACCATGTGGGGAAATACCATTGAATGGAGAGCAATCACTGCCAAGTATCTTCCCATATTTGCTGTCTTGCTTGTGTTCACTCAAGAGGACCTTACTTCTGTAAAGGAACTGAGGAGAGAAAGAAGACAAACCTCAGCCCCTTTCTTTGTCTTTGCTTTCCCCTTTTCAATCCCTCTCTCTTCTGACCAACCTGCTGCCACCACAGGACACCTCAGTTGTCTCTGCAGTCCCACATTTCTCCCTTTCTAAAAAAATCAGCAGATCCTCTCAAATCTGCCCCAGGCACTTTCAAGCTCTCATCTCACTGACTTTATTAGTGTGTCCCATTCTGCCTCCAGGCTGCCTCAGGGCTGGCATGACCTCCAGTTTTCCCCAGGCTGGCAACACATTCAGGGCTCCCTCTTTGAACAATCAGCCTTGTGTGTTTTCTGGGAGTGAGGAACTCAGGGAGTGAGGAATCCTCAGAGTTTATGGAGGTGACTGAAATGGGAAAGAGAATAAATCTTCTTGCTGTGCCTCTGTGTGCCCCTCAACCTGCTGCAGATGTGCTGGTTCCAGCACACAAATTTCGGGTGGCACAGGCTGTTCCCTGGTGCTCTGAGCAGGAGGAGCAGGAGCAGGGACACAGCACAGCTCTCCTCAGATTCATGCTGTGATAAGAGCTGTGACCTGCTGTCCAAAATCACTCTCACCTGACTGTCTCCAGGTCTCAGGACTTCCCTACAGGGCATGGAGTTTTCTCCACCAGGCTTTTGCATCCAGCTTTCTTTATCTTCCCATCATATTTCCCTGTGGAGCTGCTGACCTTCACTTTCTTCCAGGCACCATGGGGCAGATCATTGTCACCCAGGAAGATGGACAAGTCCTGGTGAAGGAGAAAGGCCTCTTCCAGACCACCTGTACATACCAGAGCAGTAACTTTGCTGGATTGTGGTGGTACCAGCAGAGGAAAGGACAAGCCCCACAGCTGCTCTCCTCCCAGGCAGGGGCTGGCCAGAGGCAGAGCGGCCGTATCAGCACGTTGCTGAACACCACGGGCAAATACAGTGTCCTGCAGGTGGAGGCAGTGGAGGTCTCTGACAGTGCCTTGTACCTGTGTGCTGTGCGAGACACCCTGGTGCAGGGAGCTTCCTGGGCTGTGCAACAAGCCAGGGGAGGGAGGGGATGTGTCTGGGCAAGGCTGAGCTGGGGGCAAGGGACCCACAGGTTACCCCCATGCTCACCTTGATTTCATCCTCACATGTGTGCAATGAGCTGATGATTTGATCCCATCCATGCTAACGTTGCCATCAGGAAAGTGCTCTGGACTATTGTGATTCATCTCCACTTTGTGCAGTCTCTGAATAAACACAAAGTGCCCTGTGCTTGCCTGGCACCTTGTCCTTCCTCTCGATCCTCCAGCTGCTGCTTTTGACCTCAGGTGTGCTCAGCAGAGCCCACGGCTGATTGTGTGTTCCTGCCTCGTGTGCTCTTGGAGCAGCCGGGTTTGCACAGACACGTGTGGGGGCACAAATCTGGGTGTGATTGCACACTGGTGTGCACCATACTCTGTGTGTTTCCATGTGTGCCCCTCATGGGGAGTTGATTTGCTGCCTATTGCAGGGAGATCGTCCTCTGCTCTGGCCCTGAACTCTACAGAGCAGCAGGTTCCAGGCTCAGAGGGAGCCTGGGTGCAGCTGAGCGCTGACGGCACCTGCCCCCTGCAGATGTGTGCAGGCAAGAGACCCAGAAATGCAGCCCCTGTCTCCTGAGCCCTTCTCTTCCTGGCCCTCCCCAGCTCTGGCTGCGCTGCTGCTGATTTCGGCCCCACCAGGCCAATTTCAGCGCAGCTTGGATGCCGAGTTGAAGGCGGTGTAAGAACCCTGGCGGTGCCTCAGCAGGGCTGGCAGCCCCTCGAGCCCCCTCCCCAGCCGTGCCGCTGCTGCTCTCAGCAGCGCTGCAGAGCTCAGGAGGAGCAGCTTTGCCTTGTGGGCAGGGAGGGAGGCTCAGCAATGCCGCCCACCGTGTGCTGCCAGTGCCGGAGTGCATCTGCTGCCGATGCCGTGTCGGCGGTGTGTGGGCTGGGACGCGGCTGTGTCTTGTGGCCGGCAACGCCAAAGGGATTTGTGGGGCTCCTTGTGCTGGTGCTGTGCGAGGAGGGGGCTGAGGCCGGCCCGGGGCGGAGCTGTCGGGGGAGAGAGATGGGGAGGGGCTGGGAGGGGCTGGGAGGGGAGGAGGCGGAGAGGAGGCGGCCCGTGCGGAGCAGAGAGCCGGGGCTGGCGGGGGCAGCGAGGCGCGGGCGGCGGAGCGGGGGATGCGGCGCTGGCGGGGCGCGGGGCTGGCGGCGCTGGCCGCGGTGCTGCTCGGTGCGCGGGGCTGCCGGCGGGGACCAGCGGGGCCGGGGCTGGGCTCGGGTGTTTCCCCGGGAGCCCGGCGCCAACCCTTCCCTCTGCTTCTTCCACATCTCTTTCTCTCTGTTTGCCTCTCTGCCATCTCTCATCTCCAGAAGTCTTCATGAGTTGCCTTCCTAAAGCCTGCTTGCACAATGCCTGCTTTTCCTTGCACCTGTATTTGCATCCCTCTACATTTATCAGTTATTATTGCTCTGAATACGCATCTCCCTGGAAGCTGCCGTCTCCTCTGGCTCCTTTATGGACCTCTGTCCCTGAATCATCTTCCCTTCATCCGTCCTGCTGCACCATCCCACATTCCCTCAGAAAATTCACGCCTCTCTTTTTTGTCCAACTATCACC